ATTATTATTATTATTATTATTATTATCTATCACTCCTTTTGTCGACATGAGCGTGTGGTCACTAGCCGAGGAGCCTAATTTCTCTCTCAAAGCCGCTAGAGTTTATTTTGCTAAACTGGCCTAATGAGAAGTACTCCGCCCTCGGGATAGGAGGTTGAAGCCGTAGGCTGACCCGCTTGAAGTCTTGAGATAGGATGTATCATGTTAAAGCACGACAAAAGCACTTCTTTTGCTAAGGCCAATTTTTGGATTGGCACCGAACACTTGATCTTGTTCGGACGTCAAGTTTTTACTGACGTTTTTTGCTTTTCCAAGCTTATGGCACTTTTAAACTATTTGTGTGTTTTCAGCACAAGTCCCGCAGTGCAACGCTGGACACCTTTAGAGATTCGGCAAAAACATTCTCGGATATTGCTATATATGCATCGTTTTTGAATTGTGTCTTCGGTCAATAGTTAGGTTGCCCAGCTCCTGCGCTTGCCTCCTACGTTCCGCTTTGTTCGGCTAGGTGTGCAAAGGGAGAACCACTGCGATTGTGCTTCTAGCTCACATGGTTAAGCACCTCAGTGGAGAAAGCCGAAAACTGACTGTCACAATAAGCGTAAACTGGTCAGCGATCCGATGACGGTATTAAATGACGGGCCATTCATAAGAATGGCCGAAGTGTTTACGGCTTGACCTCGACTGTCGCCGAACACTACCGGGGGCTATTCACTGGCCTCCCAAACTAAATCCTCGATATTTTGCTCTTACATTGGAGCTGAGGTTTCATGATCATGCTTAGCATGACAACCCAAAGAAAGGAACCGATAGCGGGACTATTTTCTTTGGAAGACATTTCTTCTGTTAAACAGTAATATAACATATCTCTCTGCGTACCTTTGTTTATAAAACCGTGTGGCCAGATTGCCTTGTTTATCGTAAATCTTTGCCCTCATAAAGGATTTATAAAGTAGGACAAACACTCCTCGGCTACTGGCCGAGGAGGTGGAAGCCGATGGTCGGTCAACAAAGTTTTGTACAATGCGGATCCGAGCATTAATGACGTAAAGTACTTGGATACATAGAGTCATTACACATAATTTGTCATTTTACTATGGATATCGATCCTTAATTCGGCCACCCGTGCCCGCATTAAGGCTCGGGGGCTACTGGGCTTCGGGCTTATTATTTAGAAATATTAAAGGGGCACATCGATCCTCTGATCTGGTGTTGCCTCCCGACCAGTGTCTCGGGGGCTACTGCATTGCCTGTTCAATGCGGAAAATTTTATGTGCAATATAGTTTCTGAGGAGATTTTGATCCTCAGGTTGGTCGGCCGCACCAAACCTGAGTCTCGAGGACTGAGCACGCCGCTTTTAGTGTCCCGAAGTATTCTGCCGAGCTAGGAGATGATCCTCAGGCCGATTTTGCAAATCAACCTGAGTCTCAACGGCTACTGGGATCGGCGGTCTTATGTCATCCTTCATGTGCATCTCGGGTTTTAGACCGATACCCACCTTGAGGGCTACTGGCTATATATCTCGGCAGAGAATAAATTGCACCAATCAAAAATATTGACAAAAATTGGCCCACATTTGGGGTGGTGCACCACCCCGGAAGCAGTCCGGCATAAAGCTCGGGCGCTAGTGGCTGGCTCCATAGAGGGCATTTCTGGCATTAAGCTCGGCTAAACTCCTTCAAACTTCTTTGAACCAAGGTGATCTATGACATCTTGGAGCTTGGACATAGTCCGGCGTTGGACCTTGGACACAGTCCGGCGTTGGAGCTCGGATACATTTCGGCGTTGGAGCTCGGAAGCAGTTCGGCATTGGTGCTCGGCAGCAAACAATACCTCGAATGCAGTCCGGCGTTAGAGCTCAGACGCAAGAGGACACTGCCTCCAGGGAACAACTTCAAACCCGAGGTGTGGCATAAAAATAACAAGGCATTGATAAAGGCCGGAAACTTAAAGGGGCTCCTCGGATACCCGACGTGTAAGCTCGTCGAATGCATTTTGAAGATCCTCAAGATCGAAGATTTGTTGAACCAGTTTTCAAGACCGACAACCGAAGATGAAGAACAGTTCGGAAGAATCGAGGAGCGTCCCTAACTTGAAGACCGGTTTAGGGGGCTACTGACGGTGTCCTGGACTAGGGGGTACTCACCACGTCGTCTCCCGGTCTGTTAGATTGGGCCGAGGACCCACATGGTCGTATACTCATGGGCCAGTCCGGATAACTACCGCATACATGGAAGATTCCACAAGACATGGTGATCAAGAAAAGGACTCCTCCCCACCGGCGTATTCGGCTAGGACTCTTGTTATCCTAGGCCTCTGGTGCATTATATAAACCGAGGCCAGCCTAGTCGATAGATAACATACAGAACAACAATCATACCATAGGCTAGCTTCTAGGGTTTAGCCTCTCCGATCACGTGGTAGATCTACTCTTGTACTACCTATATCATCAATATTAATCAAGCAGGACGTAGGGTTTTACCTCCATCAAGAGGGCCCGAACCTGGGTAAAAATTCGTGTCCCTTGCCTCCTGTTACCATCCGGCCTAGACGCACAGTTCGGGACCCCCTACCCGAGATCCGCCGGTTTTGACACCGACAACCGTCATCACGGAGGGCTTCTACATCACCATAGCCTCTCCGATGAAGTGTGAGTAGTTTACCTCAGACCATCAGGTCCATAGTTATTAGCTAGATGGCTTCTTCTCTCTTTTTGGATCTCAATACAAAGTTCTCCCCCTCTCTTGTGGAGATCTATTCGATGTAATCTTCTTTTCTTTTCGGTGTGTTTGTTGAGACCGATGAATTGTGGGTTTATGATCAAGTCTATCTATGAATAATATTTGAATCTTCTCTGAATTCTTTTATGTATGATTGGTTATCTTTGAAAGTCTCTTCAAATTATCAGTTTGGGTTGGCCTACTAGATTGATTTTTCTTGCCATGGGAGAAGTGCTTAGCTTTGGGTTCAATCTTGCTGTGTCCTTTCCCAGTGACAGAAGGGGCAGCAAGGCACGTATTGCATCGTTGCCATCGAGGATAGCAAGATGGGGTTTATTTCATATTGCATGAATTTATCTCTCTACATCATGGCATCTTGCTTAAAGCGTTACTCTATTTTTAAATTAATACTCTAGATGCATGCTGGATAGCGGTTGATGAGCGGAGTAATAGTAGTAGATGCAGAATCGTTTCGGTCTACTTGTCACGGACGCGATGCCTATATACATGATCATGCCTAGATATTCTCATAATTATGCTCAATTCTGTCAATGCTCAACAGTAATTTGTTCACCCTCCGTAGAATACTTATGCTCTTGAGAGAAGCCACTAGTGAAACCTATGGCCCCCGGGTCTATTCTCATCATATCAATCTCTATCACTTTAATCTTGCTTTGCTTTTTTACTTTGCCTTTTACTTTTCACTTTGCATCTCTATACCAAAAATACCAAAAATATTATATCTATCAGATCTCACTCTCGTAAGTGACCGTGAAGGGATTGACAACCCCTAATCGCGTTGGTGCGAGTAGCTATCGTTTTGTGCAGGTACGAGGGACTTGATCGTGGCCTCCTACTGGATTGATACCTTGGTTCTCAAAAACTGAGGGAAATACTTACGCTACTCTGCTGCATCATCCTTTCCTCTTCGGGGAAATCCAACACAAGCTCAAGAGGTAGCACTGCTGTATATGTTTCGCTACAGGAAAGAAACAGAAACAGCAAAAAACGGCTCATGGGCACACCATCACCGAGGGTGGCTCTCGGTAATGACTGTGAAACTGGACCAGAATGCACCCTTTGCCGAGAGGCCTCTCGGTTAACGTGTACCAACCAGTAGAACCTGACACCTTTACCGAGAGGGCTCTCGGTAAAGGGAAAAGGATTACCGAGTCTGGTTCTCGGCAAAGTTGGCCCTCGGCCTGCTCTCGTGGTCCCACATGTCAGGAGGTGACACGTGTCAGCCTCCTACTAGTTCCCTTTGCTGAGAGTTGCTCTCGGCAAACTTGGCCCTCGGCCTCTTGTCATGGGCCCACATGTCAGGAGGTGACATGTGTCAGCCTCCTACTGGTTCCCTTTGCCGAGAGTGGCTCTCGGCAAAGTTGGCCCTCGGCCTATTGTCGTGGTCCCACATGTCAGGAGGTGACACATGTCAGCCTCCTACTGGTTCCCTTTGCCGAGAGTGGCTCTCGTCAAAGTTGGCCCTAGGCCTGTTGTCGTGGTCCCACATGTCAGGAGGCGACACGTGTCAGCCTCCTACTGGTTATCTTTGCCGGGAGTGGCTCTCGGCAAAGTTGGCCCTCGGCCTATTGTCGTGGGCCCACATATCAGGAGGCGACACGTGTCAACCTCGTACTGGTTCTCTTTACCGAGAGTGGCTCTTGGCAAAGTTGTCCCTCGGCCTGTTGTTGTGGGCCCACATGTCAGGAGGCGACACGTGTCAGTCTCGTACTGGTTCTCTTTGCCGAGAGTGGCTCTCGGCCTATTGTCGTGGGCCCACATGTCAGGAGGGGACACGTTCCAGCCTCCTAATGGGCCTTTTTGCCGAGTGTTGCTCTTGGTAAAGTCGGCCCTTGGCCTGTTGTCGTGGGCCCACATGTCAGGAGGCGACACGTGTCAGCCTCCTAGTCTTTCTCTTTGCCGAGAGTGGCTCTCAGCAAAGTTTACGTGGTCCCACATGTCTGGAGCTAACGGACTTATCCGTCCGCTGCTTTATTTTGCCGAGACCGGCTATTTAGCTCTCGGCAAAGGCTGTGCCGAGTGCCCGTGTTCTGGCTCTCGGCAAATTCCTGTTTGCTGAAGAGGTGTACGCCGGGTGGCTTTTGCTGAAGGTGACGCTCGGCAAAGGCGTTGCCGGCAGTTTTTGGGCCTTTGCCGAGTGTCCGTGGCACTCAGCGTATAGGGCGATTCCAGTAGTGTTGTTGGGCGCTACAGAGGGAGCTGATGTATCTTTTATTGTCAAGCATGAGGTTTTCTCAGCTCATAAGATCATTCTTGCAATGTGTTCAGAGGTCTTCTGGGCGGAGTTTTGTGGTCCAATGAGGGACGAACAAAGGTGCAGTGTAACTGTTGAAGACATGCAACCCGATGCTTTCAGAGGACTGCTTCATTTCATCTACAAGGATTCGTTGCCTCGGATGGGTGACCTGAATAATGACGAGTATGAAGAAATTCTTAGGCATTTGCTTGTCGATGCAGATAGGTATGCCATGGAAAGGATGAAATTGATGTGCGAGAGCAAGGTGTGCGAGGTTCTAAGTGCCGAGACTGTGGGTACCACGCTAGCTCTAGCCCACCAACGCCATTGCAGCCAGCTCAAAGATGCTTGCATTGAGTTTATTATGAACTCTTCGAATCGAATGGTTGATGTGGTGGTGGCAAGTAAAGGCTATGAGACCCTGAAAAGGGAATGCCCTACTGTCATTGCGGATATATGGGAGAAAACAGCTAAGAGACGCAGACTTTAATATGCTGACCGTGGATTAACTTGAGCGTAGTTACTTGTATTGAAACATTAGCAACCTGAGATTAGTTTGTCTATTTCTTAAGTTCTTAGATATTATTTGGAGAAGGATAAGTTTCGTATAATGTTTACGATATGTACCGCTCTGTTATATGAACCTATGCTATAACAGTAACATTCTCTAATATGTTATGCTCTGTTGGCTAGCAGTACATTTACTGTTTCTGTTTTTTTCCTTCTGTGTGCACATTTCATTTCCCAAAGCAGTGAGTAACTATCTTCCATGACCACATCTATCGTGAGATGAGTTAAAACTTCAGCAAATAGCAGTACTATTGCAAGTTATTTACTAAAATGATTGATCGGGGTCGAATTTTTATATTATGAAGATGATAATTATACACTAAATTTCTATATTTTAATTGTTCCAATCTGAATATTTAGCTTCATTTTTGTTACCAGATGTTTTGTTTCTTAATTTGGAAATCCGTAAAACCATGAAACATTAGTTTTCACTTTGAGATTTTTTTTAGATTTTTGAGAAAAAACATGTGCATAGCTAGAAATTTAGTTGCCCCTTTTGTGATCATTTCTGCAGCCTAAGCTTCATGGCGAAAATGAAAGCTAGACTAGTTGAGTTCTTAGTGGAGAAATCTTCTGTAAATGCACTTGCATTGAGCCTGCATGCTAAGTTACAAGATGCTCAGTTCTTTCAATGTGAGATTTACTTGGCATAGCACACACTCCTACTTCCTTATGTTCAGTTCTTTCAACCTGAGTTGTGTTGGGGTTTGTAACACTGATTGAGAGTCATTTCGCATTTTGCCCAAACTTGTGGTCAGGTTAGCTTCACTTATGTTCAGGATTTCTGTATATGCAAACAACATAGTGAGGACTCATATGAGACTGTACGTCTATTCTGGTGTGCGCCACTTGTCTTCTTCAGTTACGGCAGATGGAATCATCTCGTTTGGACCCTGTTTGACATTTCGGATGGAATGGTGTCACATGAGGATTTTCTCACCGTGATGGCGGGAACTACTTCGAGTCCTACGACTGCTCCAAGGCCATCTCCGACCTTTTTTTTAAGTCGCCCCGGAGGATCTGGTTTTACTAAAAAGGAGGAGAGAGTTGTCAAGTTAATATACGAAAAACCCGGCTAAAACCATCATAAAAGCCCACACATGGCAACATTGTCCGTCCTGGCTACCCACACGAAGACACACACGCTACTGAGAAGAAAAAACACTGTCGAGGTTGACACCAAACTTCATCGTCATCACTCCTCCATGAGCCAATGACTCCAACATCACCATCAACTTCATCAACGAAGCCTTCGTCGCAGCAAACGCCAAGACCCATAGCGGCCCATGCCAAACAGACGACCACCCGCGTTGGTGTCTAGCCAGCTCCGACCTGAGCGATGAACCTAGTAGCAGAAAGAGCGTTGATCCTGCGCCGAGCCGGACGCCGCAGCCAAACCGCACAATACTTACATAATATTCATGGATACATCTTTCGTTGGTATTCACGTCGCATACTTACACAATATTCATACAAATAAGAGTATATTTGTTGACAAAGCTCACTAGTGGGGTATAGTTTACATCGAGCCCGGCTAGTAGGTATGACATCATGTAATTCTTATGGACGTGCTTGCCAATGGAAGAGAGCTCATCTTCAAGAGCTTTCATATTGGAGAAATACTCCATGGCTTTCATGTTTCCCTCATGCATGTTGGCAACCCTTATCTTGTTACTGATGACTTGTGCTCAAAATTGACCTGAGAACATATTCTCAAGCATGGTCCAGACTTGTGGCACGTTCGTCGAGGATATCTCCTAGGATGTATTAGTCCTAAGCCAACCACATAGGCTGGATTGGAGATTCACTCTTTTCCCGATTGGTTGTTTTCTCAATAATCTTGCGTGGTGTCGGGGGAGATCCATCAAAATAACTAGTGAGTTGCGCACCACGAACTGTGGGCCAGACTTGTGCTCCCACATAACGTACTGTTCCCTTGTGAGTTTTCTGATATTTATTGGCTGTGGGAATCAGGAATGGAGGAAAAAGATGATGCCATTGATATGAATGTAGGAAAGGGTAGCTATTTATTCAATCATGATACCGATAGGTCAAAGCATATTGAGCCTCATAGGTCCGTATGGTCTTATATTGATCGAGCCATACAATAGAGATTACAACGGCTGGGTAAAAGGCACAAGTCACATAAAAGAAATAGAGATAAACTACAAATCCAAACCTTTATATGATTAGCTTGGTTTACATGATTGTAAGAACCTACACTATAAAATGATGAAAGGGGATCTCTCCACCTAAATTTAACTCCATGTCTGCTGATCCAACAATCTAACTCCAAAAGTTTTGGTTTCAATGCCTCTCCATTGGACACAAATCATCGTCTTTGGTATAGGAATTTTCTTCCGAAGATAGTAAGTGTTTCTATGTTACTTTATTTGCATAAAAATTAATCACCCTTAGTACTCACACATTAAAAAGAAATGGTGTATATTAGAAAGAAATCTGGATGCACCTAAACAACGACAAGATAATCTAATGGATTTCGTACCATCACCATTAAATGATAGAAGAATACAAGAAACTATTTGTGATGTACACAAGGTGGGTCATCTTCAATCATATCGTTTTTAAATCACAAAATATTAGAGAGCAATGGTATCCTGTGAATTTCCATGGAGATTGAATTGTTGGTTTGTTGTACTGACATCATAAAAATCACGCACATGAATAATTTTGTTACGAGATACAATCATATGTTATCTCAAATCCTATTAATTGGATTTAAGTGACGCATTGTGGAAAGTTCTTATGAAAACTAAAAGAATGCATATGCAAGGAGTCAATGTGCCAGATGACAAACGGAGATGAAATTAAGGAATTAAAGTGGCACACGACAAAAAGGAAATGGAAGTAGTCAATGCAACATGGGATAAAGAGAGATGCAATGAGTCAGCACACTACACGACAAATGGAGATGAAAGTATTTAATGCGACACATGACAAAAGGAGATGAAATGAGTCAACACGCTATGCGACAAATATATATCTTGAGAACCAAGACATTCAGATTTGGTGGTTAGATTGGCACGACAAAAGGAGATGAAATGAGTCAACACGCTATGCGACAAATATATATCTTGAGAACCAAGACGTTCAGATTTGGTGGTTAGATTGGCACTTAACGATCTATATTTAGGAAGATCTACGGCACCACTTAAGTTCATTGTTACAAAGAAAGTCCAGAATGATACAATGATCTACAAGAATTACTACTAAACGTGCTGCTTGGTGAATTTTCTACTAGGTTGTTCTCCGCCATGTACTTTCTAAAGGGGGCAAGACTGTGGGCCTTTAAGCTTTTTAGTGAACCGCCATCTTCGTGCCTTGGTCTTGGGCTTCTGATGAACCTCAATTTGCGTAACCCGGCCTCTCCTGGATGGCTTACACAAATAGTCATATCCCCAACATTAGGCCCCAGATTGGTTTGAACCGGTTCATGTCAATCTTTGATAACCTTATGAACTGGCCTTTAGTCTTCTGTCTTGCGTGAAAATTGTAACCCGTCGTGACGTCATTCTCTGGCTCCGGGTTAAATCATCGTGACGTCATCTTCAATAAAACTTATATTTTAATTCATCATATCTTCAACGGATCTTTGCCTTTACTGACCCTCCCGAAAATCGAGGCGTCGGGGCCGCTGGATAATGATGTCTTGGTTTCCTCGTTTCTCGCGCCGTCTCAGTCGGTCCTCCTTATAAATAGGCACGACCTAGGTCTTTTTCATTTCCTCCGATCGTCTTCTTCCTCGCACTCCCTCTTCTGCCGCTCGAGCTCCGCCGCCGCCACCGTCGGAAACCTTGTCTTCACCGACTCAGGCCGCTGCATCACCCTGTTTTTTGACCAGAGAACAACGACAACCCTCCGCAGTTCTTCCGCATCGGTGAGTTCTCTTTCCCCCCTTTCTCATATCTGCATTAGTACTGTCTTGAGTTCGTCGACGTTCATCGTCGCCCGACGCAACCTCCATTAGTTCTTACCTCTAATACCTTGTTCAGATCGTAAAAACCACATAGAACTGCTGCGGAGGATGTTGTATGCTTATTCTGTATGAAAACAGATCTCATTTCCTTGTTTTGGAAGCCCTCCTTGAGTATATGAACTTCCCTGTACTGTTTTAGGTCTAGAAATTTTTCCTTTCCAGAGCATCGTTTGATCCAAAATAATAATTGCAATTTGTGAAACCTGTTTGCTCCACACTTAGCCAAAAACTGTGTCTGTTGACTCTATTTCAGCCATAGTAGTCCGTGTAACCGGTTTAAGATAATACCGGCTGTCAGCACCACTTTCCTCTGGCGACTTAAGAAAACCTTAATCATCTTTAATACCTGCAGTTGTTAAACATTATCACATAGTTACCTGTATGTCATTAGGCCCCTTCTTAAGTCGCCATCTTAAATAACCCAATAATGTTTATTCTCTGGGTTATAATAAACCGGAAAATTTCCTTTATCTTGTTGTAGGCTTCAATTTACCCAATGGCACCCAAAGCTGTTAAACCTCCGGTTACCTGCAACTGGGTCCCATCCATTGTTACAGCGAGCAAATTGTCCGAGTTTGTAAAGTCTGGCCATCTGCCCAAGAAGGATGTCATGTCTTATCGTGCTCCTGACCCGTCTGAAGAGAAACCTCAACCCAAGGAAGGGGAGGTGATCATTTTTAACGATCACATGAGCCGGGGATTTGCTCCTCCCGGTTCAAAATTCTTTAGAGACGTTTTGCACTTCTTTGACTTAAGACCTCAAGACATCGGGCCCAATTCCGTGTCAAATATCTGCAACTTCCAAGTTTTCTGTGAGGTCTACCTTGGAGAAGAACCGAGCCTACTTTTGTTCAAGGAATTGTTCTATTTGAACCGGCAGAATGAGCGGGCCAATGGGCCCAATCTGGAGCTTGGTGGCATAT